GAGGGACGCGGGGGGGGGCGAGCGAACGTCCAGTCGTGATACCTTTTTGTGCTGTTACCTCAATCACTGGCCGTCCTCATGTCTTCTCGCAATCGGCCCATTCTGGAAGTTCTCCCGCACGTAGTGCAAAGAATTCTGAATTCGCTGGAAAACGGAAGTCCTGAGACGGAAATGAACGCCGTTGCGTACTGTAGTTTCGCCTCCTCGAACTTCTGGTGTCTTTAATGAATTAGTTCAGTGCAGTGTCTCGAAGTTCCTTTTGTTACGATAGGCCCTGGATGATGAATCTCGGGGCGTGTCAACATATTGATCCTTCTCCTGCTCATGATTATGGATGATTGCATTTATATGCAAATTCAGGGATTGGTTTTTAAATGTACCCATGCTTCGTTCATGTCCATCAGGCTACTGTCTGCGAGGTGACTTGTCAAACATCACAACTGTGGGGAAGATTGGAAGCGACAGGCCGATTGAGAGACGTAGCCCATAACAGGCCTGTTACTCGTGTTATGGTGATCAGATCACAGACGGTGAGAGACGCCGGACGCGTACGCATGGGCGGACTCGAGAAATGAATACGCAAGTTTAGCCGGAAAACCACAAGTGCGAATTGAAAGCCACTTGGTACATTCAGGTGTAGATGCTATGAAGAGGGTAACCATTTAAGTGCTACACCATGAAGACGTATTGTGGAGTGAATATAATCGCTCCACGTATTCTTGACCTCGACACTAGTTCGATGTGAGTTGTCAACTTCACGTTCAGGCCGCTTTATCCCTGGGGAGTTGGGTAGGAGGTTGGGTGGCCTCAGAACCTGTGTGAATGACATGGCGAGGAGAAATATCTTGCCCCTACCGGAACTCGAACTCCTCTCCCTCGGCCGTCCAGGCCATAGCCAGTCGGTATCCCTACCGAGATATAGTTGCTAGGATAATATAGAGAGATCTGCGTACTGAAAGTTTCATTTCTGAGGAATGAGAATGAGTGGAGGCATCTGCCAGCTAGGTGTGGGGGGGAGGTTATGTTCTGGCTATAAGCGCGTCGGAATCCTTTCCGGTAGGGGGTCTAGTTGAAGCGCTGGATTATATTACCAGAGAGTTAGCTAGTTAATTAGTTTGTAAATTACTTAATCGAACTAACGCAAGATTAGCCGGATTCTCTGAATCGTGGGGCTGGCCAGATGCCTAACCTAATTGTAAGTTCAGTAACTGCCCTTCGCGCCGGTCACGGTAGCCGAGCGGTCTAAGGCATGTACTGTCTTCGCTCGCTTGGAAACCGGGATCGTGGGTTCTAATCCCACTCAAGGCATGGATGTTTGTTTGTGTTAGGTAGCGGCCTTGCGACGGGCTGATCCCCCTTCCAGTGAGTCCTGCCTACTGTCTAAGGTTAAGAAACTGAATAGAAATGAAGCGTTTCACAGATGCCCTCTGCTCCAGGTGGGGACGCAGGATGATGATTGCACCTCATTTATGTTTCTTTTTACCCTTAAACGGCTTTTTCAAAATTCCCCGGCGAAGGATCAGTAGAACACCATCCCCTCCGTTTTACCACTGAGGTGCCGAACACACCCTGACATCCAGAACTCCTTTAAGTATACCGCAGGTCTAATAAGATCGGGAAAGATTGCTCAAATGCAAACTGAGCAACCAGCCCTATGCTGCAACTGTGGATCACCGGCAAACTCACCCACACGTACGTAAGTCTCCTGAGCCACTTTAACCCTGTTCTAACTCTCCCACTCTGTTACTTCGCACAGGCGGTTGTGTGTGCCCTGACCCATCTCGGTCTTATTTCTCAAAAATCCATTTTAATATATCCCCCCACCCCCCGTTCTACTTGGCGCTCACATTTGGCCATCTGGTAGCTTTCCCGGCCAAATTATGTACCGGTATGCAGTTTTCCCCGAAATATGAGCTCTTACGGATAATGGCGGCTGGCTACATAAGTAAGTCAGCAGTAACCAGCAGATAACTTAATGTCAACACTCGTGTAACATCTCACATCAAGGCCTTCTGGATTCTGTACCGAGGCACTTCAGTCCATTTTAATGTTAACACCGTCGTCTTTCATGTCATGTGTGGTAAAAGGTAAGGTTAAGCTGCCCCTGTGCTTAACTGACTAAGCACTACGCCATGAAGGCGTATGGGGGAATGGATGTATAAATCCACATTTTCTTGACCTTGGCATTAGCTGGAGGTTAGTGGTCAGCTTCACGCCCCGGCCCCGGCCGCTTTACTCCCGGGGGAAGAGCATGTGGAGAAGAGAACATTCTTGACCCTACCGGGGCTCGGACTCCAACCCTTTGGTCCTTCAGCCCGTAGCCAGTCGCTGTACTGATTGTGCTGTGTTGGCCAGAACACTAAGCTAACAGGAGCAATGTGCGTGTACGAAACGTCCTCACCAGGCGCAGGTGTGGAGTACGCGAAGGAATGCGCTTGCGTTCTTTTTCGACTCTTTCAGTATGTCGCATAATGAGTTTTGCAGCCGGATTCGTCATATGTGCGGACAATTGGCTCAGACGTAGGCGAGCACAAGGAGCAATTGCCACTTGTTTCACGGGTGTAACTGGACGCCAAAGCGCAGTCATGCAGTTATCATGTACTCCAGTTTGAGTGTGTCTTGCCAACGGGACTTTGCGGTCTGGGGTGTCTAGGGAGGCAATAGTTTCCATCTAAATAGTACTTGCAGTTACTGTGAATTCGGTGCTCAAGTTACACAGTCTGCATTACAGTAATTAAGTCATCAGAAGGGACGTTTTCCTACTGCTTGCTGATATTTACAAAGTCTGTGCTGCCTTAAACGAAGTGCGCAGAATCCGTGGAAGGTAAGGAGTTTAGCAGCTTGCTCATAGCACTGTTACGCCCTAATCCGTTACAGTTCCTCTCATACAGTAAAATCGTGATGATGATGATGATGATGATGATGGTAGTGGTGGTTCGTGAGATTGTGACAGCTCTGTGCACCAGTGCGCACCGGTTGAAAATAGTCGCAAATTTTCCGCTAGATGGATTTGCCAGCGGTCATTTCTCCCGTAACTTTCGTGAAATCGCCAATTTAACGGGGTTTCTTTAAACACATTTTGTATTTTTCCGTATTGGATGTTACGATTGAAATGTGACTACGCGAGAAAATTAAAAATGGGTCATTATGATGCCGAGCTCTTGGAAACTCCTCTTAAGTATACAGTTCCAGTCAGCAGTGGGGGTCACTGTGTGTGTGTGCCAGGCAACAAGGAAGTACATATCATTCGTGGCGGTTATACTAGCGTGAATGTACAGAAGAAATGCTAATTCAGTAATTAGATTGTGAATATTGTTGCCCCTTACGTTTTCACATCCTGACGTTTAGAAATTTGGTTCACGAAACGGAAATTACCACGCGAAGTGCGGCCGTCAGTGAACAGTTAAATCCTCGCATGCAGCCGATAAGCCCTACGAGCCTGAACTAGGCTGTGGGCTCGACGGAATCCATTTCCTCCTGGAACAGCAGTTTCCTCACTGCCGCCACGTGCAGACTGGTTCTGCGACCCACCCAAATCTCCGGCATAATGGGTAGCGAAGGCTCTTTCCCTGGAGATAAAGCGGCCGGGGTGTGAAGCTGACCACTCACCTGCAAGCGCACAGGGCAAGAGTTACATTTCCACAACTCCCATGTCGTGATGTTCAGTTCAACTCTGCGTTAACCATATCTTGTGTCGGGGCAGCGTGCGGTTCGTTAGCAGAGACCTCTCCCTTGCACGCATTCTCTGAATCTGAAGTGTCATCCTTCTGTGGTCTCGGTCTGTCGGCGGCAACTGCTTACGTGAAGTAAACGGTCAGATCTTTCCACTGTGTTCATTTGTTCTCCACCTCAACCGTGCTACACGATAACAGAATCATCAGTATGACCTACCCAGTCTTCAAATGTGTATGAATTAGTAGAACTTTACCGTTGTCTAACTCGAGGGATTATTCGCCTCAAGCCCACCCCTTAAATTGGATAAAGGACACCTTGCGGTTGACCCCTGTAACCGGAGGTCGTCCCGTGCCGCCGTAATGAGCAATCCTCTTACCATGATGACGTACAAATCATGAAATATCGGCGCAAATTTTGTCTCGGACGTAAAATGGCTTCTAGATGTGTACCCATTTCCGTTTTGCTCTCTTTGCAGATGAATCCAGCGGAAGCAGCCGTAGCCAAGAAGCAGCAGGAGCGGGAAACTCTGCGCAATGTAATTGCGCAGTGGAATGCGAACCGTCTTGACCTTTTCGAACTCTCGGAGCCGAATGAGGTGAGTGTTGATGAAACACGAAACAGGGTTATAATTTTCCTTCCGAACACAGATACAGCAGTGCAGACCGCGCACTGTGACGTCAGCAGAACTTCAGAAGTTGAATATCTGGCACGAATTACTTCAGAAAATGCCAATATTAAACAGAAGTGGTATGCCAGAGGCCGGCTGTTCTTACGGTAATTAACTTCTGGTTCCAGTATTTGTTGATCAGCTAAACGACTGTTCTAAGGCACGTACTGTCTTCGCTCGCTTGGAAACCGGGATCGTGGGTTCGAATCCCACTCAGGGCATGGATGTTTAGTTTGTCTGTGCATTTTTCTGTGTACAGGTAGAGGCCTTGCGACGAGCTGATCACCCGCCCAAGGAGTCCTACCGAATGTGTAAGATCTAGAAAAACCGAAGTGAACGTAGAAGTTCATGGAGGTAGGCCTAGGCCCACTGCGGCTGTAGTGCCAAGGAACAAAAAACGACTGTTAGCTACTGAAGGACAGCTGTTAATGGAGTTAGCGGCTATTAACCGGAAATGACCGGGAAGGAAGATTTTTTTTTTGACATCCCATGTTTTATTGTGCAATCTGTAAAGATACATTTAGCAGAATGGTTTGAAAAGTATCTACGATGTCATGGGGAGAGACACTCAGTAGTGCCTCTCCGTGGAGTATGGATAGTCCTGTTGGGGCTGTAGGGAGTGTTCCTAAAGCTAACTTATTTACTACACTACAAGCTACCTGGGAAGGAAGATGAATGTTAGAAATTTCTTCGTCAAGTGTTTATATTAGGAAGACATTTCTTCAGCAGACATCAGTGGACTGCACACAAATAACTGCGATGAGAGTTGAATGGGGTCCTCAGGATGAGCTTTTGTAATGGCTTTGGGCTATTTTCATTTTCGTCTGATTTTAAATTATGATCGTAATTTATGCCTAATGATCAACTTTCGTGTAGCGTATTTTTATCTGATAAACGTTGGTGTCTCCACCTTATCGTGGTGAAGGGGTTTGAGTATGCCAAGGACCCTGAGAGCTATACCAGCGGTAGCGTAGCTACTGGCAGGGCCTCCCTTGCTGGACAGGTCAAAGGGTAGGCATCAGACGAAGAGAGACACCAAAAACTGGTGCCGGAAGCAGCGTCATCAGCAGCGACTTGAAGCACAGAGCAAATGATGCTCGAGATGGTTCAAGTTCTTATAGCAACAGGCGTGACCAGAGTGGTTTGAACGGCTGTTGTACTGCGATGTGGAAAGCAAATGGAAAAACTACCACATTATCACTTTTCCTGGATAGTCTCTTTCCAAAAACAGAAGATCGCATTAAGTGGACGAACTGTTTTGGAAGAGACTGTGGACCTGTCGTCTGACAGATTACTGATGAATGAATGAAACGAAACTAAACTCCGTGGCTTGATTCCGCAGGCGAAGTATGCTGACCGAGCGACCGCCGCTTGACGGCGAAGTTAGTGCCAACTTCAGCGGATAGAGGGTGTCGCGTGGTTAGCGCAACGAATCCCCACGGCCGTTAATTTCGGTTTTCTAGACCGGAGCCGCTATTTCCTTGAAGTAGCTCTTCAAATATCCTCACGAGGCTGAGTGGACCCGTTCCAGTCCCACCACTTCTCAGAAAATCGGGTAGCGCCGGGAATCGAACCCAGGAACTCTGACCACTAGACCACAGATAGCAAACTAAATAGGCCCTGCATGCAGTAGAGTTCATTTCAGAAGCGAACAGTCATTCGGCTCCTCAAGAAATTTCCCGCATATTTATCGACCTTTGATATTTATTACCATGTTCACAAGAGCACAATAATAAAAAAACGTCTTACACAAAACTTGAATATTAGAGCTCTGCGAGTTAGGTAAAGTTGTACATTAGCATATTAGTTTAAATGATATCATAAAGAGTTTGATATTAGCCCATACGCGTTAGCTGTGCAGATGTTCAGTGGGCCCCGTTCTTCAGAGCCGAAGTAGACAATTTACAAGCCCTCCCCATGACTGACACTGTTGTTTCTCCAACTGCGAAACTTCTCACGGTCGCATTGTTTGGTTCGGTGCTGGCCGGAGTATGGAAAGTAAGACATTGTTTGAATTCATATGTCTATACAGAGTTTCGCTAAAATCGGCCAGTTCAAAATATTTTAGGAGAAAGTAGCAGGAAGTATGCCCTTGTTAGACTTGTTTTGGTTCCAGAGAGCTACTTAAAAGTTTAATTTGTTTTGCAACCGAACAAATAAACACGTGGTTTGTGGAGAGGGGAATTGTAACTATGTCACTGCTCACTGCCACTTGAAGGCGTGTGAACGCATGTGCGAATTGGAAAGGTATGACAGAATACTTTTTATTTTACTGCTCCACAAGAAACAAGACCGTAACTGTCAGACAGTAATAAATTCCTGGTCATGAGACTTACTGACCGTCAGTGTCAATGGGACTCTGACTTGAGATAGACTTGAGGGAGTCTCTTAGAGTCGGCGGGCGACGGTGACGGAGAACACACAGTGTGTCATATAGCGGCTTGTGACCTGTACTAACAGGTTGTGTAAGTGTGCAATACATCCGGCCATCAAGTCAAAAGCCGTCTCTAAGTCACGCACACCCACAAATACGTAACACTGTTTTTCTGCATTCAGGCCTATGAAGTTACTCATTTGAAGTAAAGTCAGTGAAACGAGAACCAGTGGTCGTGCAGTCGGAGGCGCGAAATATCTTCCCTGGCTCGAGCACTTGTTGTTCTGTTTGTGTCGTGTGTAGAGCCACTCTTGAGTAGCTGAGCGCTGGTGGCGCCTCGAAGGCAGCTCTCCTTGCGACGGGATGTGAATGAGCGAACAGGCCAGGTGCTAAGGATGGCAGAAGGAAGACGAGAAAGTTAAACCAGAACATGTTTCTCTTCAGTAATGAAGCATCCAGTTTTCACACGAACGACCAAATTACGTCAATAGAAAATTACAGGAATGGAAAGAGACGCTTTGCTGACTTGGTCGAGGTTCAGTACACACAACTTTGACGTGATGCAGAATGTTTGTGTCCATATATTGCATCGACATCACAGTGAAGTTTGAAGTTTTATTTTATGTTTCTGTAATCTTGCTGACAAGTGTAACAGAATTGATGATTCCATTGTTTTGATTTGTAAGTCACCTGAACATGTGAAATACATTGTGTAAGATTTGAGGCTTTCACGGCGGTGACTATGAAGAAAGCAGTCTTCTGGGATTTGGCACCGTGTATATGTGGTGCTAACCGACGTTTCGGAGGAACGTATCGCCTCCATCTTCAGGGTAGAAGAAAAAATATAAGAAATCGGCAAGCGAAGAGACCGTGAGAACCGGTAAAAGCCGGAACAGACTGCTTTTACCGGTTCTCACGGTCTCTTCGCTTGCCGATTTCTTATATTTTTTCTTCTACCCTGAAGATGGAGGCGATACGTTCCTCCGAAACGTCGGTTAGCACCACATNGGGCATGCAATAGCGTAGTTGGTTGAGGCACTATGCTACAAGCTTGAGATCGCGTGTTCGAGTCCCGATGAGGTGGATTTATCAGTTTGCCAAATCCTTCCTGCCGCAACATGGCCCTGGGGTTGACGGGTCTAACAGAGAAGAGTAGCAGGAATCTTCCTGGAAGGGTAAAGGGCGGCCGGCGGTGCGTAAGGCTGACAACATTGACGCCACTTATGAGTCGACTGTCAAGAGAAAGTGTGAGAGCCTCGACGTCTCACAACCCAATGGGCCTTCACGGCCCGTTACCTTTTAGAGAACAAGACATCAAATGTAATGTAAGGTATTTTAAAATGAAATTAAGCTCTAAGTATGGAAGCATAACTGTAAATCTGTGCATATGAAGTGATAGCGGAATGGCTTATATTTAATTAGTATTCTTAGATTATTCACAAGGCCGCGCCATAGCTCAAGCGGTTAGTCTTCCCACCGCGGCGGCCCGGGTTCGATCCCGGGTCTGGTCAAGTGGGACTTGTGGTGGACAAAGTGGCGCTGGGGCAGGTTTTCTCCGAGTACTTCGGTTTCTCCTGCCAATCTTCATTCCACGAATTGCTCCATAATCACCCTCACCTGTCATCTGGAGCTGGTACAATAGGCCAGAAGTGGCCGCAGTACAAGGGACTTAGTCCCACCCCGCTAGCAATAAAGAAAACTTATTCAGAACTGAGTAATTTAGGATTGGTAGATTGTATGGCCTGATGTTGCAACGTTACACTTCAATGCAATAAGAACCCCGTTGACACGACGGAGTGCGAGTTGTTTCAATGAACTGTTGTGTTTGACAGGTATGCAAACAAACATAAACATATGTACAGCGACATGAAATACGTTTTATGCTTAGTGAAGGAACAGGCAGTTTTGGCTTTGCCGATAGCAAGAAGCGACACGATTTTGCCTGCCACTCGCCGCTGTGGGCGAGCCGGTGCTCCAACATCCGTGAGGAAAACAAGGCGCTGGGCACGCACGGTGAGAGTGTGGGAACATGGCTAGGGACAGACACCTGACTCCGGCTGTTATCAACGGAATGACATGTGGAGCGTAGCAATATGAAAGTATTCACTGACGACAGCAGAAATCAGATTCTCTGTGCAGGTTACTAGGAATACTGTAAGCTGTTTCTGACGCATGCGTTCTGCGATGCCTGCATAAGCAATGTTCGTGTAAAGTGACATTTGGGGTACTGACACAGGCTTTTGAGACGTCACGCGTAAACAGAACTAGCAATAGCAAAGTCGAACAGAGATTCCGCGCTGTATTAATGCGAATATTTTCCATAACTAACGCACTAGTCATGTGCGTGTTCATAAAGCCTCGTTTATATATTGTAATTTGCTTTGACGCCCACGGTTCTGCTTCCAGGATTACAGCATGAAGTATCCAAGATTTGACAAAAAGGGTGTCTGTTTAAAAAGCTCTGTTCTAAAAGAAAGATTTGGTGGTGATATGAACTCAAATTTGTGGCCATTCTTGTTTATGTACTACTCCATGAAGACGTATGGACGAGCGG